GATAGGGAATGGCAAAGGACACACTGACAAAGGAGATTAATCAGAACTGGCTTTGACAAGCACTGTGGCAATTGGACAATTAAAACAGACATTCGGGGGGGGAGAAGAATGAACTGGGGAGGAGGGTAGAGAAAACAGTGCAACAATGAATGAATGAAAACCCAAAATGTCTGTAAATGTCCATTAAAACGAATAAAATTTAATAATAATTTTATATTTCACTAAATTGTACTGTCAAAGGGTGAATTTTATGGTGCAGTTTGAGGCAACAAGCTGCTCCACAGGAGGATGGGCAATCTTCTCCTGTGCGATTAACTGCCTCTGAAAATCCGCTGGAGGGTCAGCTATGGGTTGTTCAGACTCCACAGTACACAACAACAACAACAACAACATGAATCATATATTAGCCAAAAAATAAGACAGATCAAGAAATTTGGTTTATGTGAGCATTTGCTGTAAAATTAAGCATAAATTCAAACATCCTACCTGCCCAGCAAACAATAAATGCTGGCAACTGAGAAGAGATTTGAACTCTATTATTCACTGCTTGTGGGAATGAAAAAATGGTACAGCCACTGTGGAAAGCTATCTTGTGCTTTCTTAAGAAGTTTGAAATAGAAATACCATTTGAAGCAATTCCTCTGGTAGGAATATGCCCTAAAGAAACTAGAGCCACGACTCAAACATATGTATGCACACCCATGTTTCTTGCTGCATTATTCACAAAGCAAAGAGATGGAAGCAACTCAAGTGCCCATCAACAAATGAATGGATATTAAAACTAGGCTACATTCACCCAATGCAATATTACTCAGCATTGAAAAACAATGAACATTAAATATGTGAACCTTAAACAATGTAGATGAGCCTGGAGGACATTATGCTGAGTGAAATATCTCAGTCATAAAAGGGCAAACACTGCATAATACTGCTGTTAAAAAATAGGACTGATCTGGGTGGGGGTGGGGCATTGGAGAGATAATGAGAAAAAAGTCAGTAGATTATGAACACTGTAATAATTATAAGAGATGAGGGGAATTACTGTCCAAAAGGAAAATACAATTAGGCATTATATGTACGACAACAATCTAGAACAAGAAGTGCATTACAGGGTGGGTTAAGAGAAGGGGAGGGAAAGAAAATGTTCAGCAATGGAAAAGAAACAATATTAGCAAAATATTCTGCCTTCAATAAGGTAAAAATCCTCAAACTTCCTACCTTCCAAATTTTTAAGAATTTTAATGAGCCAGTATTTTTCATCCTCTGAGTCCATTCTTATTATAACCAGCACCTATTAAAAAAGTTAGAATTTTGAACATAGGTGTATCCGAGTCCTTTTTTATAATTTAGATTATAATTTTAATTCTTTCTCATAATTGACCTACAATGATAAAATGGGGAACTTAACTGGTTATATGAAATAAATGATAATAAAACTACAAAGTAAACTTTTATGTTTTAAGTCAACACTTAAAGTAAAGGAATAAATTCTAGTAAGATCAGGCACCAATAAAGAAAATATTTCAGAGTAAGGCATTCATCTTTCCCATTCTTAAATATTCTCATGTAGTTTACCTTATCAACAAATACCTTTATTATTAGGGTTAAATTTAACCCACACATATTTGAATTTTTTTTAGAAAACCAATCATTTGCTGCTTAATTTTCCTATTACTACAATTTTGAGGGAAGAGTGGTGTAGGGCAAGAATAAACAATAAATCAGAGCTTTAAATAAAAACATGAGATTCTGGTTCAACAGCTAAAATAAACTGTTGTAGTTCCATTACTGAATGTATTCATGAACTTACAAGTACCAGGCAAGTCAGTGATAATCAGGAAAATAATCTTTGTGTATAGCCAAAGAAAATGAAAGTACTTTTTCATTTAAGACTTAAAAGATGTAAATCATATTATCTGTTAGTTTGCTTCTGTTCTGTTAAGGGAAAAAATTGTCAAGAGACCAAACATCATAGACTATTAAATATTTTTTACAGTTATATGCAAAAATATTATTTTATATCCATTTCTTAAATAGATTACTTTTATTTGCTTTATTAAAAAAGCTAACCTTAATTTGCTGTTGACTTTGTATCCAATTTAACATGTGAGATTGCAATTCTTGTATCTTGTAGTTTGTTTCAGGATTTTTTTTCTTAATAAATGATACAATCTCCAGTTGTCTCCAAATGCCATCCAAATAGGAACCTAAAATGCTTTTGTAAACATCTTTTGCATTTGATAAATACCCTAGTAAAGACATAAATATAGGGAAAATGCATTTTTTTTATTTGAGAAACTCATGGCATAACATTGTCAAGAAATGAGTAAAAATAAAAATAAAAATTTCCTTCATTCCCTTTCTGATTTTGATCAAATACAACAACTAAGAAAACTCTCAAAAGTAAATGAAATTAAAAGATATGTACCAAGTATCTCTTTTAAACTATATAATACCAATGTATTGGATATATTTTCTGAATATACCCCTAATTTTCTTTCCTCCCATAACTTAATGAGAATCCTTAGTGGTGTAATTGTGAAGAACTTGGCTGCTAACCAAAATGTTAATGGTTTGAACCTACTAGTGGCTCTACTGGCAAAAACCACAATCACCTGTTCCCATAAAGATGAAGCTTTGGAATTCTAAAGGTCATTTCCACTCTGTGCTATGAGATTATTATGAATCAGAATCAATTTGATGGCACAAAAAAACCAACATGGCTACCACATTCTTCCTAAATCCCAGAATTTTCACTTAAAGTTAGTCTTGTTAAAATACCACATCATAGCAATTCTCTTGGGATTTTATCTATACAATTTTTACACAATGTCGTATTTTGTAGTTAGTTCCTGGTTATATATTTATATAACTTACCATTCTCGCTAGTCTAAATTTTCTAAATTGGATCCAGGTCCAGGATATTTATACATATTAATTTACATAACTGCTAAAATAGCAGAATCAAAATTCAGACTCACTAAAGACATTTTTTAAACATACAGATTATTGAGACTAATATCTGAACATTTATATTCAGTAAATCAAGAATGTGTCCCAGGAGTTTCTCTGCCTAAATTACTGTTCAAGTGATTCTACTGTACAATGAGTTATGTGAATTATTTCAAAAAGCATTTAGCATAGTAACATATAGATTGGATATACATTAAGTATTTTATCTAAATGTTTAAAGTTAATATTCTGTATGTGTAGTGTTCATATTAATTCCAATTTTATATTAATTAGTAGAGGGTCAGAGAAATACAGGAAGATTTAACGAGATAGGTTGACACAAAGACTGCAACAATATGCTTAAGTGTGATGGAGATTGTGAGGATGGCACAGGATCTGGCAAAATTTTTTTTTTTAAATTTTTTGTGTGTACCATCAAATCGGATCTGACTGGTACAGGAGATTGCCCCTCCTTCTCCAGCAGAGCATCTGGTGGACTTGAACCATGGGTCTCTTGGACTGCAGTACAGTTTCTTGCCACTAGGCCACCAGCACTCCCTGCAAAATTTTGATCCATTGTTTACAAAGTCACAATAAGTGGTTTTAATTTGCATCTCTCTTAGGGCTAGGAATTTTGAGCATTTCTTCATGTGCTTGTTAGCCATCTGAATGTCGTCTTCGGTGAAGTGCCTGTTCATATCCTGTGCCCATTTTTCTATTGGATTCTT